GAGGAAGCATTCTGGTTTTGATTGTCCAGTGATTTTTTTTTTCCTCCTAACACTGTATTTCATCAGCCAGGTGCTATTTTTGTTCTTTGCACATTTTTGGCGATTTTTTTTCCCTACACTTCCTAACCAGTGAGATAAGCACACATCAAAATCCAGAACTTGTGTTACCCTAGAAAGTTTTCCTGAGTTACTTCCAATTCGAGGCTCCCCTCCGTCGCCATCACACGGGAGAGCTGCCGGTTTAGTCGGTCACGTTGACTGTACTGGAACACATTTCCACAGTATGTTGCTTCTTTTGTCTGTTTTCTTTGGCTTAGCTCAGTGTTTTTGAGTTCATCTATGTTGTTTTCATCAGTAGGGTTTTTGAAATATGAATTGTCTTCTTATATGTATATTCCACAATTTCATTTTTTTTATTCTCTTATTGGATACCTAAAGTACTTGTATCTTTGGTTACAAGGGAACCTGAGAAAGCTCACAGAAAAACAGAATTAAAACAACATTATGTTGCAGAAAAATTTTGAAATCTCTATAATCCAAAAAGTTTTTAAAGAAGTTTGATGCTAGTAGGTGAGTAGTGGCACTGGTTGTTGTATTGGCGTCGTCTATGGCTGTGTCCAAGCTGTTCCATTTTGGAATTAGCTTCCTGCTAATGGCCTGGGAAAAGCAGCACAAGATGGCTCAATGGTCTGGTCCCTGCTGCCTGAGTGGCAGACTTGAGAGAAACTCCTGTTTCCTGACTCTGGCCTGGCCAAGCCCATGTCCTTGTGGCCCTCTGAAAAGTGAACCAGTGGATGAAAACCTCTCTCTGTCCCTCCAACTCCAAATTCAAGTTAAAAAAAATCTTTAGAAAAAGTTTGTGAAAAATGTGTATAAGGATAAAATCACATGTGCAGTTCACAAATTATTTGTACCGAAATAAACTTTAATTCCATTTTTGATGAAATTTTGAAAATACCTTCTTTGTTTTTAAAATAAATATGTAGGAGTAGATTTTTTAGATCAGGGCATAGTTGTGGTTCTATGTTTTTAAGAAACTGACAAACAATTTCTGTAATGTTCATAGCATTTTGACACCCAATAGTGTAAGAGTTCATTGTTCCAGCATTTGATGGGACTGGTCTACTTCAGCCTTGCCACTAAGTATTTCATTGTGGCTTTAATTTGTATTTTTTAGGTGGCTACTGATATTGGAAGTTTTCCTGTAGGGATGTGTATCTTCTTTGTGAAGTGTTGAAGTCTTTTGCCTGTTTTAAAATTGTTTATTATTGAATATAAGCACTTTGACAGGCATACTCTTAAATGTTGTGCATATTTTCTGTTAGTCTGGTTTTGAGTGAACTGCTTTTAATACACAACTTTCTAGAACATTATTTTTTGGTAATACTGGTGTTATAGAAGTTGTGATTCAATGCCTGCTGTCATTGATCATTAATATTGCCACAGCTCTCGTAATATCATAGTTCTGATTTTTAATAGCCAATGAATTGTGAGCCTTTGCCGGAAAGTCTCCTTGGGTGGTCATTTAGCAAGTTGTTTCCTCTGCAAGAAATCTGTAGCGCAGGTGACAGCAGGGACTGATACAGTGGTCATTGTTTAATTCACTTCTGTAGGAAGCCGGACAAGCCTGGAGATGTTGCGGGCTCAACTCCAAACACACAGAAGAGAATGCAAAGGTGAATGCAAAGTGGGTTCATGGGCCAGGCCAGCTCCTTTGTCTGTATGGAAAACAGGGAAATAGTTGCCCAGGACAGCTGGTAGAGTAAGCTTTTCAATTTGAATGGCTTGAGGTGGACTGTGGCTAAAACCCAAGACCGCCTGAAGGGCGAAAGATGGGCAGTGATGGGGCAATGCATTGTTTTTCTCAAGGACAGCGGTGGTTTGGCAGTTCTCAGCCAGTATTCTGTGTTTGTGTTTGGAGTTACGTGGCCTTCACAAGTGGATGATAACCACTTCTAAAATCTTGGGTTGCTGTTCTTCAGATACAGGTTAACTTCAGATACAGGTTAAAAGGAGGCCTGATACCATGAACACAGAACATCTGTAATAGTTGGACCTTTGTAAGAATCTTAAGTATTGTTGGGAAAAATATTTTTAACTTCAAAAGCTTAGAAATTTAAAAATACATTTTCTTGACTTTGTCAAGTCTAGTTGGGTTTTTTTAAAAGATTTTATTTTTATTATTTTTTCTTTTTTTTTAAAGATTTATTTTATTATTATTATTATTTTTTTATTGGAAAGGCAGATATACAGAGAGGAGAGGCAGAGAGGAAGATCTTCCGTCCGATGATTCACTCCCCAAGTGAGCCCAGCGGCCGATGCTATGCCGATCCGAAGCCAGGAGACTCTTCCAGGTCTCCCACGCGGGTGCAGGGTCCCAAAGCCTTGGGCCGTCCTGGACTGCTTCCCCAGGCCACAGGCAGGGAGCTGGATGGGAAGCAGGGCTGCCGGGATTAGAACTGGCGCCCACATGGGATCCTGGCGTGCAAGGCGAGGACCCTAACCACTTGCGCCCGGGTTTTTTTTTGTTGTTGTTGTTGTTGTTTAAAATTCTTATAAAAAAAAGGATGCTTCCATGGATAATTGAAGCTTTTCACTGAAGACATTTTTATTTTTAAATTAGAGAATTTCTTTCCACATGTATGGGCGTTATTTTCATGGCTCAAAATGCTTCAGGTCGTTGAGGTAGAAAACTCTGCTCTAGAAAGTTCAGAGGTTCCAGATTCCCATGTGTTGTGTACAGCAGAGTGTGTGCTGTCCATCCTTGTTCACTGTCAGTGAGAAAAGCAGCTAAGTGGTAGCTGTGAACATGCTTCCCTCCAACAGAGACCCCTCCCACCCCCACCGTGTAAGTTCTGTTTTTAAGCTCCTGTGGGCTGAGAAAGCCATCAGACGGGTGAGAATGAGGTCTATATTCAAAGCCCCATCGGAGTCTAAGTGTGAGGCTCGCCTCGTGCATTAAAGGCCTGGGTGTTGGCATCCATTTTTGTCTTTGAGAAGTTGGGAGCTTGTTTTCTCATCCTTGGCCATATTGCACAGGGTGGGCTGTCAAGTAACAGTACTACAGAATGCTAAGAGTTACATGGGCACTCACTCCCATTTCCACCGTTCCAGAGATGGGATTTTGGAAATTATTGGGAAACAGATTTTAGTTAATACTATGCTGAACTGAACGGTGTCTCGGCTGATTGATTTACATAATCGTTTCAATTCTTGGGACCCCTGAATCTCATGATCTTACCTCATGTGGGTTTCTAGGTTTTCAAGGCAATTGGGAAGAATTTTACTGAAGAGAGATTTTCACATCAGTGGGAGGGTGAACTGCATGACCTCTCAGGTGTATTTTTACTTTGAGATTGAATAATGTGGCCACTCATTTCTACAAGACAGTTCACTTGAATGCATCCAGATTAGTTCTAAAAATCCGAGGGAAAGGGTAGTTGCTTAGCTCTTGCAGGGTTTTCCCATCTTAATTTGAGAATGCCAATGATGATAAGTGTCATCATTTACCTTCTCATGTTTTGAAACATGTTTTCATGTTTCAAATTCATTTTTAGTTTATAAGACTTATTGACTTACTTGAATACAAGCCTGCTCTCTCTGGTTCACTTTCCAAATCGGTCCAGGTTTCCCACCTGAGTAGCAGAAACCCAAATCCCTGAGCTGTTCTCCTGCATCCTGGACTCTGTAGCCAGCCAGCCAGTAGGTGGGGTCAGGAGCAGAAGGCAGGTGGTGAGCTCAGGTGGTCTGTTGTGGTACATGGCCATCTTTGTGTCTTAGTCACTAGACGAAACACCTGTTCCAAGACCCCTAATGTAAAGATTTAGAAAATCTTACTAAAGAATGTAATAAGTTGAAGGATGCAGGAAAACCTGTTCCTACTGAGCTGCTTGTAAACTCTCTTTGTAGCAACAACTGAGTCACTTCGAAAGAGGTTACTTGAAGGGCCCCGATGCCATGGCTTGCTGTTTCAGGTAATAGCTCTCTGTGATCTGGGCTTACGGGGGCTGTGGGCATGCTGGCCAATCAGAGCTGAACTCACAAGCTGATTGATACGATTTTCTGATTTCGATCCCTCCCTTCAATAACCATTGGTAGAAGAAGATGCTTTGCAGGCTAGTTCTCTTAGAGGCTGAAAGCACTTAGCAAAACAAAAGAGGAAGAACTGATAGGAGTGGGTGGATCCTGATAGCATCTTCCAAGGAGAAGCTGTTTCTGAATTTGCTCAATCAGCAAAGATCCTGGTTTGTAAATCTTAGGTATCTCCTTTCCCATTGCAGGAATGCATCCTTCAATGTAGGGATATCAGATCCTCTTGAATAGGTGTGAATGGTTCCTGTGCCTTTTCTCCTGCTTGGTCTTATTTGAGTTAAACTTTTAATTCTTTGCTGTCTGGATGCTTCAGGATAGCTGTGGCAGAGTTGACTATATGTCTTTCCCCTATGGGGCTTGCTGAATCCCCTCTTTGTTCGTAAACAAGGAACATATGGAGATAGCCAAGTTGGCGCTGGAGGAGAGAGATGGAGAAGGGAAAGAAGGAGAGGTGGTACTTGCATGTGTCTGTTTCCAGGATATAATGCAGACACATCAGTTTAAGCAGGGAAAAAAAACACTATTCATGTGAAAGATTAAGCTAGGCAGTGAGCCTAGAAAGTCTCCTGCAGCAGCTGGAGTTGGAGGAGCTTCCATATCTGAAGATAGAGAAATCATCTCCAAAAGACCAGTTAACTTTCCCTATGAATAATATTGTCAGCCTCTAGGATTAAGGTCGTTGTTAGGCTAGTATAAACTTCTTGTAGCCACCATTTCGACCATTCTGTTACATCTCCAGCAACTTTCTTTGGCCCCTGTGTAAAGATGTCAACGACCAGGCCCTTCAGTTTCTTCTTCCTACTCTTTGAAACTCATTTTCAGATTGAGTAATGGAGAAAGTAGGAGGTTACTGAAAAAAAGTTCTTGGAAAAGTGAAATTCAAAGGTAAGCTTATTTTACTGCAGAACAAGTTGATCTAGTTTTCTTTTTCCATAATATACACTTTTCATGAACTTTTTTGACGACCTGTGTAGTGGGCTGTTTGCCACGATCTGTGCTCCTTGAAAGTGGAGGACAAGATCAAAAAGAGCTCAATGTGTATGGAGTCTCCGCTTGTCTCTCAAGTGTAAGGTTTCGTATCTCAGACTCTCTGATCCTTTGGTGTTTATCCTGTGCCCCCGTTTTTTCATGCAGAGCTTTTTAGATGAGAGAGTTCCTTGCTGTGCCCATTCGTCCTGGACAGATACTGTTCAACCGAGTCTTCAAGAACAACTGGTAAGTATAAGCTTTTGGAAATTCTTCTGGTCGGGATTGTGGGTGAATTTCTATGCCACAGTAGAACTCTAAGGCCAGTATGTATGAGGGAACATCAGAGCATTTGTGGGAAGGACCTGTGTAGGGCTGTCTGTAATAAGCTAATCCTCTACCCGCAGTGCTGAAATCCTATATAGGTGCAGGGATGGAAGGTCTGTCTCTCCTTTTTGTAAATCTGCCTTTCCAATAAAAACAAATAAAATTTTTAAAAAGTTTGTAGAAAAATGGAAGTTACAGGCAGTGATTTTGTGCAATAGGACTTTAAATGCATCCGTATTCACTTTGAAAAATATATATTTATTTGAAAGGCAAAATGACAAAAAGAGAGGAGGAGGGACAGAATGAGAGCCCTTCCATCCACTGACTCACTCCCCATGTGACCACAAGGTCAGGACTGGACCAGACTGAAGCCAGGAGCCCAGAGCTGCTTCTGGGTCTCCCACCTGAGTGCAGTCCTCCCACCCCCCGAGACTTGAGCATATTTCTGTTGCTTTCCTAGGTGCATTAGCAGGACACTTCATTGAAAGTAGAGCAGTTGGGACTAGAACCAGTGCCCATATGGGATGCTGGCAGTGCAGGCAGTAACTTTACCTGCTGGTTCAAAGCACCAGTACTGCAGTCTTTTTGTAATACAGATTTGCAAAAAGTCTTTGAAGATCTCTTCTGTTGGAAACATTGGGATGCTAAACCACACTGTTTTTCTTTGGAAAATTATCAACTGAAGCCATGGATCAAGCATACACATGTGCATATACACACAAGGCCCTGGCTGGTCCTAAGAATAGCAGTTGTTAAAGCTTAATGAGTGTAGCATGAAGAGTTATGTAGCTATAAACTGCCCTTCACCCATCACTTTTTTTCAAGGCCTTGGTTTGTATCAATGTGTTCATTATTTGGAATTTACAATGTTCGTGTTCTATTAGATGATTGAACTGTGATTTGAAAAATTTTTCTTCTAGCTACTTATATGGGATACTTTTGATTAAAGGCATGAATGCCTTTTTACCTGATGCCATGTCTTCCTGACCTTTCTCACCTCTTCCTGGCATCTGATTTGACAGCATATTGTTTTATGCTGTTGGGGATGCAGGAGTAGCTTATGAAATGTGTTGTGTGACCCTGCTTTAGACAACTAACAATACTTGGTTTTCTGTTCAGAAGCATTGTTGCCACAAACTGCATAGCAACCCAGAAGAAAGAAGCCATCTGACACCCCTGACCTTGAAGTCCACGAACTGGTGTACTCCTCTGTTGGGTAAGCCTGGAAGCCTTTTGCACCTGCTCAGGCATAGCTGGGGGTCGGTTCTTTTTGCAATGGGAAGTAATGAACATGTGCATAAGAATTGAATGGTTGAGTTCAGCCAATCCATAGTTGAATAGATATTGGATGTCTGTATATGGATATATAGCTATATATTTATATATATATGGATACTTTGTGCAAGGCACAAAATTCTGTGTATAGCCAAAAGATTCCTGAATTGACTGAAAGATGGGTTAGATTTGGAAAAGTAAAAAGCATGAGAGAGTATTCCAGTGAATATCTGAGAATGATATGAGCAAAAAAACAAAAGAACAAGAAAGAACGCAAGAATGCAGATCCTCAAGTGTTTGATGAATCCTCAAAGCTGGAGGAGTCATTCCAGAAATAAGATTTTAGGTTTTGATAGCATGGAATGCAAGCTTGGAGAAGGCAAAACTGATTGTGGGTCAAACTGTGGATGGTTACTCAGCGCCATCGTCAGGGTCTTGATAGTTCTTAGCACAACATGGTTGTGGCTGAAAGCCAAAGTGAGTGAGTGGTTCTGGAGGGATAAAAGAAATGCAGTGTTGTGACTTGTAGGTTGTTTAGCAAGGGAAGAGCCAGCACTGCTGACCGAGTGTCCGCTTGTATTAGAGGGTGGATTAGTGTTTTATGGGGACTGTTTCATTCACAGTTCCCGAGAGATAACCAACCACGATGACATACAAGAGTGCTTGCTGTATATCAGGCCTGGTCCCATGTTCTTAACCTAAGCATGAACTCATTCAATCCTTATCACACAAGGTAGATGCTGATGTGATCCCCGCCTCCTTTAGTTTATTTGAAAGGCAGAGAAGGATACCATGCACATGATGGTTTACTACCCAAATGCCCACAAAAGCCTGGGCTGGGCCAGGCTGAGTTCCAGTCTCCCACATGAGAGAGAGAGGGGCCCACGGACTTGAGCCTCCCTTGAGTCTGCTACCTCCAAGGTGGGCGTTAGTAGGTTGCTGGTGTTGGGATCAGAGCCAGGACTCCAATCCAGGCACACTAATGCTGTGGGCATCCCAAATGATGTCTTAACTCCCACACCAGTTCTCCTCTTAAAGATGAGCAAACAGGAAATGTGAGTTAATCATTTGCCTGAGATCACATGTTGCTTTCTGATAAGGAGATCTCAAGAGTGGCCCAGCATTCCAAGACCACCAAACCAGTGGTGACAGAGCCAGGATTAGAACCCAGACATTGGAATGAATTCTGAAGCTTATGGTTTATTTCCATTTTTAACTCCACTGCTTCCTCTCCTCAGCAATGCACAAAGTAAGATGGTGTCTTGGACAGAATGGTTTGTCCCTTCCATCTGTGACCCACAGCACTCCCTCGGGTTCTAGCGTGTGCCTTCAGGAGCCTGTGGTGCCATCCTGTAACGGGCTGCGCAGTGAGCAGGCTGCACATGGATTGTCAATTCTGCTGGTTGTTGAATGAGTTTCCGTTTTCTCCTGCCTTTTTTTCTTTCCTCATCCCTGTGTGAACCGACATGAAGGGGATTCAGATGAAAAGGTTAAAAGAACTGGGTTGACTTCTGCTTTGTCAGAAAGGGTCCAATCTTCCATGAGGGCAGTTATGCTTTCACACGGTTTGAACTGGAAATTGTGTCTTTGCTCTCTGCAGATGCCTTGTGTCTGGATGGTGTTGCGACGGCCCGGAGAGAGGGATTGCAAGCGTTTCTGTGTGTAGCCCACCCAACCCCTGCTTTATGTAAAAGGCTCGAATGTAAAGAAGTCCAAGATGGTGCTTTGGGCGTGACGGGATGGCTTAAGTGAGTACAAGAACCGATTTTCTCCTAGCTCCCTGTCAGGAGGAATTTGAGGAGCTCTGTTGGAGCTGCGTTAGACAGCCCACAGTGCCACAACTGCATGCTGCTTAGTTAGCGTCGTTCTGATCAGACTGCTATTCCTCTGACAGTGAAGATGAACTACCCCCTGCAATGTGTCCTCTTCATTTACTCTCAAAATGCCTGAGTTTTTTGTGGCAGGAATTAGACATGTCAACAAGAATGTGTGAGGGCTGTTCACCCCAGGGAGGGCTCCTTGTGGGACTCAAAGCCAGGAAGCCAGATGTGTTAAAGTTGCAGATCCCTTGTGTTCAGTTTTGGCTAGATATTATCTGTCTGTTGGATGGAGGGGAGAGCTGCCCTTTTCTCTGTGTTAGACCGTGATAGAATTGGGAGTGGAGGTAGAGGTGGGGCCAAGAGCTATATCACACGTGACTCCTTTTGCAAGGTGGGTCTTGTGGAAGCCATGATGGTGTGCACACCACACACCGGAGTGCCTACAGTCGTCCAGTTGAAGCTTCCTGCTAACGAAGGCGCTAGAATGTAGCAGGGAGTGACTCCTATCTGTGTTCCTGCCATCCATGTGGGAGGCATGGATTAAGATCCTGGCTCTCAGTTTTAGTCTGACCCAGGCCTGGCTTCTGCAGGCCTTTATTTCTATTTCTCTTTTTCTGCTTTTCGGATAAATTTAAAATTTATAAAGTTTGTGGAAAAGTGGAAAGAAAAGATAATGCTTATTTTGGTGCTAAAATGTTTTTGAAATGCTTGCATTTTTTATTTTTCAAAATAACCACTTTTCATGAACTCTCTGAAGATTCTCCATGTGCCTAGATTGCAAAGTGTGTGTGTGTGTGTGTGTGTGTGTGTGAGAGAGAGAGAGAGAGAGAGAGAGAGAGAGAGAGAGAGAGAGAAAATCAGCATCTCTAAGTTGAATTTCCAGCAAACTTTTTCAAGTGCTCTTATAGTCTGGTAGCTGTTGAGTCTTGCAGTTTGGTCCTGTATTAAGCAACTCTGCTCTGTGTTGCCAGGTGCCCACTCTCCACAAGTGGTCCAGCCCCAGGAACAGATCTTTCAGGCCGTGTCAGGATGAATGATGACAGAAGCATGGGAGTAAGTGTTGACTACTTTTCAGTTTCATTCTCAGTGTCTTTTCATCACTCGTGTCTTTGTGCTCTGTGCTGGGTATTCTTTTTCATTAAAGCATTCGCTCTATACTTAGCAAGGGTGAATCTGACAGCAAAACAAAACAAAACAACAAAAAACAAACAACAACAAAAAACCCAACAAACCCAGATGCATGAGAAATACAGTCTTGGAAACCAGGAAATTGAAATCCAATCCTATGGAAAACTTTAATTCCCTTATCTAGTGTAATTGTTGGATCAAAGGACAATAACTAAAAGGTTGTTTTCTTTTTCAAAGCTCAAAGCAAGTTTGGTTTTTTGGGTCTGTTTTTGTGGGTTTTGCTTGTTTGTGTTATTGTTGTTAGGTTTTTTATTTGAAAAGCAGAGTGACAGATTTTTATCTGTTGGTTTACTCTCCCAAATGGCCTTACAGCATCAGGGCTAAGTCAGGCTGAAGACGGGGCCAGGAACACCACTGAAGAATTCCATGTGGGTAGAGGGAACCCAAGTCCTTGAGCCACCATCCAATGCCTCCTAGGCACATTAGCAGGAGTCTGGATTGAAAGCATTGAGAACCAAGACTCGAACCAGGGCTTCTGATACGGGACATGGGTGCCCTAAGCAGTGGCTGAAGTTGATTCATGTATGAAAGTGCCTGCCTCAAGAACACAATTGTTTTTGTCTTGACATTTTGGTACATGAGAAGGTATTGGCAAGCTGCCCTCTCTGCTGAGCGCTCTGGGTACCACACTGCTGTGGACTTGGGCCAAATCACATCCTGTGCGATTGTGGAACTGGGATCCCCATATACTTCCTTCCTCTGTTTTTTATGAGTATGCAACCTATGTACATTTGGAAGGTACAATGCAATTGATCATTGGATCAGTACATGTGCATGGCATATCCTGATGCTAATGGGATGTTAGCATTTCTATTTTCTGTTTTCTTTGTTTCCCATTTACAATCTCCTGTCTTCTTGTTCTTCACGCACTCGGTGGATAACACATTACTGTAAACTACAGTCCCCTCACTGTGCTGTGGGACAGTGGGATTTACAGCTTTGGGATCCATGACCTAACATCATCACGAATCACTTTTGTACATTCGAGCTGAGCTTGTTTTTCTCTAGCTGGCTTATTTTACTTAACACAATGGAAATCAGTTTCATTCGTGTCTCTGGATTTTACTCCTTTTTTAAAAATTGCTGAATATGACTCTGATGTTTGTATAAAGAGACTTCGAAACATTTGAGAAAAATGGAATTAAAAGTTCAGTTAAGGTGCTGGTGACATAGCATTGTGGCTTGAGCAGCCTCATGCAACAGGTGCATCCCACATGGGCACCAGTTCCTGTGCTGGCTGCTCCACTTCCAATCCAGCTCCACCAAAGCAGCAGCAGATGACCCAAGAGCTTTGGTCCAAGCCACCACGTGAGAGACCTGCATGAGGCTCTTGACTTTGGTCTGGCCCAGCCCTGGACCTTGCAGCTGTGTGGTGAGTGAACCAGTGGTGATTTTCAAAATAATTAGACTTAAATCAAACTCAGTTGGGTTTTTTTATGCAAAAATCTTTGAAATTCATGCATAATATCTTGAGAATATACATTTTTGGTGAACTTTTTGAAGATTCTGCTTTTTTTTTTTTTAACCTGTTCATTAATCAGTGAAGACTTGGTTGATGCCATATGTTGGCTGTTGTGAATTGTTGTAATGGAAAGGGAACACAGTTGTCCTTTTCTTAGGCTGCCTTTGTTTCCTCTGGATGTACAGAAGAGCCAGGTTACCTGGTAGATCTGGTTGCTGGTTTGCTCAGAAACTTGTGTGCGACCCTCCCTAATGGCTGTGAGATTTTCCTATCTCCATCCACAGTGTGTTAGGGTTCCCTTGTCTCCATATTTTTGTTAGAACTTACTACTTTTTGGTGATACTGTTTCAACTGGAAGAGCGTGTCAGCTTCCTGTGGTTTTCATTTGCATTTACTGGGCATGACAAGGATATTGAGTTGTTTTTTTTTTTAATTCTCATAACTTAATTGGCAGCTTGACTTTCTTCTTTGAGAACCAAAATGACTTCTCAGCTCCTGTGTTCGTTTCTTAACCAGGCTGTACGGATTTTTCTTTTTTGTGTTGAGCTTTCAAAATACTTGATACATCCTGGGTCTTAATCCTTTGTCAGATGTCTGGCTTACAGATATTTTCTCCCATTCTTCCAGTTGTCTTTATTCTGTTCCTTTTTTTCTTTTCCTTACGCTAATTGGAAACATCCGAGTTTAATATAATTTAGTTTGTCTAATTTTACTTTTGTTACCTGTATTCTGGGGGGTCTTTAAAAAAAATCATTGTGGTTAAATTGTGTTGTTTCACCAAGGTTGATATTGCTGATAAAATGATAACCCATTAGCTTTAATGGTGTGAATTTTCATAAAGCTCTTGAATGGCACTAAGTAAACCAGAATTCATCTTGTTAAAAAAAAAAAATTCTTTGCCTTGTCTCAAAGTGTTTACCCTAAGTTTTTCTAGCAGCTTCTTGTTTTCGGTCTTCCGTTGAAGACACTGGTCTGTTTCGAGTTGATTTGTGCATGAGAACAGCTCCAGGGTTTTCTGAGTGAGGTCCCCTGTTTTCGCATCACTTTGTATTGCTTATCTTGGTGACTTCGGTAGAGACTCGCATGGCTGTGGATGTGTGAATTTGTTTTGGGGATCTCCGTTCTATTCCGCTGACCCATGCACTTGCCTGCATGCCGTCACAGTGGGCTAGCTCTGTAATACACTTTAAAGAATGCTTTTCTTGTTCTTTTTGTTGAAGATTGTTTTGACTTTTTGGGTTCTTTTATACTTGCATATTAATTTTAGGTTCCTTTCCCCCCTAGTTCCTGAAAAATGTCTTCAATATTTTATTAAATTTTGCTTTGAATCTGTACATTTGGTTTGGGTGATATGAACATTTTTAACATTATTTGTCCAACCCACGAATTCAGTGTTTGTATTTACTTTCCTCTGGTCCAATTTATTTCATCATTGGTGTTTTGTTGTTGTTATTTAAAGATTTATTTATTTTTATTGGAAAGGCAGATATACAGAGAGGAGGAGAAACAGAGAGATCTTCTGTCTGATGGTTCACTCCCCAAGTGGCTGCAATGGCTGGAGCTGAACCAATCTGAAGCCAAGAGCCAGGAGCCTCTTCCAAGTCTCTCACGTCAGTGCAGGGTCTCAAGGCTTTGGGCCATCCTCAACTGCTTTCTCAGGCTACAAGCAGGGAGCTAGATGGGAAGTGGGGCTGCCAGGATTAGAACCAGCACCCATGTGGGATCCTGGCGCATTTAAGGTGAGGATTTTAGGCACTAGGCTACTGTGCTGGGCCCTTCATCATTGTTTTGTAATTTCCAGTGAAGGTGTATTTACACCTTATGTTAAATTTATTTCTAGGTATTTAATTTCTTTTCAGTGGGATTACTGTTATTCCTCTCTTAGCAAGTTTGTTACTGATGTATAAACATGCTACCAATTTGTCAGTTTATTTGTGGCATCTTTGTTCAATTTGCTGAGCAATTTTCAGTCTTTCGCTGTAGTAATTCGGGTTTGGTACATACACACATGCCAATTGCAAACTGGCAATTTTGACTTCCTTCTTTATTATTTTGTGCTATCTTTTCCTTGCCTAATTGCCCTCAGCAAAACTTTTCTACAGATTGAGAAAGAATGGACTTCCTTTTTAGTTGTGAACCTCACAGATAAGGTTTGCTTTTGTATGTCTTCCTCATTCAGTCTGTTGCTGCATATGAATTGAGTGTTTTGGGATGAGTGGATGTTGAGCGCTATTGAATACCTTTTCTGCATCTGTCACACTGATCCCGCAGTTTTAGGCCTCATTATGCCCATGTGATGTGCTTTGTGTTCGATTTGTATTTGTTGAAGCTTTGGGACGAATGCCAGTTGATCTTTTGGATGTGCTGTTGGAGCTAATGGCCTCTGGCATTTTGTTGGGAGTCGTCCTGTCTTTGAGGGAGATTGGTCTGTTTTTGTCCTTGTGTGATCTTGGAACCAGGGTAGTGTACCTCAGGAAATGAATTTGGGAGACTTCCCACTTCAGTATTTATTCCTGACTCATTCTTGTTATTTATTATCATCTGGCTTAGTTTTGTTGTGTCTTTATGATTCAGTTCTCATGGGGTTGTACTCCAAACTTCCCCATTTCTGTGCTTTCCATTTGGTAGATGTACAGTTTCTCTTTATACTTTCTAATGATCCTTTTTCATTTCTGTGGTATCAGTTGTAACATATCCCTTTTCAAAAATGATCCACTTACTCTTACTTGAAAGACAGGGATACGGAGAGACAAGGAGACACTAGACGGAGGGAGGGAGATAGAGATTTTCCAACCTCTGGTTCACTCCCCAAATGGCTGCAGTGGCTGGAATTGGGCAGGTCCAAAGGTAGGAGCCAGGAACTTCATCTGGGTCTCCCACATGTGAGTGCAGGGACCCAAGACTTGGAGCATATTCTCCTGGTTACCCAGGCTACCATAGGGATCTGGATTGGAAGTAGAGCAGCCAGGACTTGAACCAGCACCCATTTGGGATGCCAGTACTACAGGCAGAGGCTTAACCTAGTCCACTACGATACTAGCCCCAATATCTACTTTTATTGTGAAGATTTATTTATTCATTTATTTATTTAAAAGTCAGAGCTCCTTGAGGTGTTGGCTCACTCCCCAGATGGCTTCAATGGCCAGGAGTGGGCCAGACTGAAGACAGGACCAGGAGTTGCATCCAGGTCTCCCATCTGAGTTCATGGGTCCCAGCAACTGGATCATCTGCTGCTGCTTTCCTAAGTACACCCTCAGGGAGCTGGATGGGAAGTGGAGCAGCTGGGAATTGAACCCCCGTCCACATGGTATGTCAGCATTGCAGGCAGCTACTTTACTGGCCATGCCACTGTTCCAGCATCGAACATGTCCTTTTTTTGTATCTAACTTGTTTTAGTCTTCTC